ACCCCGAAGGCGTGCCGAAAGCATGCCGAATCGTAAGTTCATCAGTACCGGAGAGATCCAGCGAACATGTGTTAAGCTGCTCATTTAACAAATCCAGGTTTTCCTTTAGAGGAAAGACACGGAAAACGGAAGTGACAAAAACTGTTGAAACCTTGGTAAACGGAGGAAAGTTGACAGAGCTGTGACAGCTGTTACCGGCAATCAGCTTCACACACATTATCATAATTAAACTTTATTTCCTCTCAGGTATGCAGAGTAGTATGTTGGTGCTACTATCTTCAAACTAATTACATTTGATAAGTAATGGAAACGCTAATGAGGTAACGAACTGCCGAAATTATTGATACTTGCTGCTCTACCTGATAAACTAAAGCAAAATTATGCGCCAAGCAATTCAAAGCCTCCCCCTCTCCCGTGCAATACAGGGACATCTTACCATTGTCTGTACCAGGGGAAAGTAGGTACTTTGAACCCTGCCTGGCGGAGATGGGCAATTGGATCTGAAGTATCAAGTTTTTCCAGCAGAATATAAGTGTTATATATTTAAATATGGAGGTTTTTATGACAAATAATTCACTTTTGAAAGTGAATGGCTCAGAAGAAAAGGTCTATAAGGTCGAGGTTTTAAAGCTTGGTAAACGTGTAGAAAGTCATTTTCGGTTGGGTGGGGCATTTGAGCACAATTTTTGCCCGGAAGGGTGGAAATTTAAACAAATCAATCTTAATAAGTTCAAATGCCAGGAAGGTTAAAGCTTCGGATTGATCGGCTCTTTGTATAATACAAAATTTATTTCTATTGAAATTAAAATTATATGTCGGCCAGCAAAAAGAAATCCAGAAGCACAGAAAATAAAAAGTCCTTTAGTGAAAAAAAACTTGAAAAAGGTCCCTATCAATACCAAAACAAGAATAATCCAGCTACTATTCCACTAATTTTTACAGAGACAGAGCTAGAGGCAGGGGGAGAGGGGGGGAGAGGCACTGGTGAGCATAAGTTTTAGCACTATTTTCTCCATGCCTAATTTTGCACATGATTAAACACGTCAGATCTCTAAATCAACGATAGAATACATCGAACAAATAAATCAGCCAGTTGTCAAGTCAGCTGTCTCTAGGCCTGTCTGGGAGTGTTGCTTATTTTTTCTTTCTTAGAGTTTAGGCATGCAACCAAGTGGTGCGGGTATCCTGTTTCAGGTGTTCAGACGGTTCAGTTCGAAATGGGGCACACGCAGCAGGCAGTGTTTAGGTTTGTTTACCTCCAAATAATGGAACGCAAGGGTTAAAGTTAAAGAATAGCCAGATAGCCCAAAAGGGTAGGCTAATTTAAAGTCCATGGAAGGTTTCTCCAGTACTGACAGGTTCAGATGAGATGGATGTGCATAGGTTTGTGAAAACCACTGTGAATAGGTTTGACATTTGGTAACCTGGATAAGTTTGGGAATAGAGATTTGATACCCCCTTTGCGCACCTCTATATCTTCCAGTAACCAGTTGATGATCAGGCACTCTTTTGTTCTTTATGGGAGAAGCTTTGTTCGGAAGAGAGATAGGGGAATGCTAACAATACAGCCGATCAATCTCCTTCGACGACACATTCTTAACTAAAGTCTTTCATTCGCAAGAGTTTCAAGTGTTTTACTTTTACTAGATTAAGTCTCCTATAAGTATAGATTGGTCATTTATCATTGTTGCTTTGCTTTAGTAGTCTGTGTACCCTAAGAAGAACAGGGATTCATTTCTTGGTGAAAAACAGAAAATTTTGACCTAATCATTTCAGGTTAGGAATGTCACACTTGCGATTTTTACCCAGTTCGTACTTCATGGGCAGGTTCATAAACACTCGATCTCAAAACTGCATTCCACCCATACAATACAAAAGTTTACAACTTAAATCACCTCAAGAGGTTACTTGGCTATCATCTCTACCTTTTATTTGCAATATTACATCAGAAGCCAGTAAAAGGATTCTGACTTTGCTGTGGTGCGACCAACTCTGACCACCC